GCAATAAATTATATTGTACAAATCCAAAATTAAGACCTTTCATTCCGGAACATTATTTTCGTCAATTATTAGACTTTGCAACTAAACTTACACACTTTCTCTTCAATAATAAATATTATGACCAATGTGATGGTGTTTCGATGGGAACACCATTAGCAGCAATCTTTGCTGAAGTTTTTATGGCACATTTTGAAGAGACTTATTTGCCAATATTATTAAATCGTGAAAATTCCAAATTACTTGCATGGCGTCGTTATGTAGATGACACATTCGTAATTGCCAAAATGGATGCCGATAAAGAAAAAATTCAACAAACATTAAATTCTTTTCATCCATGTATTCAATTTACTGTGCAACCTGAAACTAATGCTACCATCGCATTTCTTGATGTTTTAGTCAAACGACATGAAAATGGCTTTGATACAACAGTTTATAGGAAGGAAACATCGACAAAACTAATGTTAAAATGGCACAGTTTAGTTCCTAGAGCATATAAAACAGCATCCATTTCACCATTAGTAACAAGAGCAATTAGGATATGTTCAACTTTTCAATTATTACACAATGAATTTGAATATATACGAATGATGGCTGCTTACAATGATTACCCAGCGAGTTTTGTCGACCAAATAATACAAAAACAATTAAATAAATATTTTCAATCAGAAAAAAAAGAAAATCAAATTAAACAAATACCAGCTGAAAAGAAAAAATACACATATATTGAAATCCCTTACGTCGGCCGTGCAGAGTTATGAATTCGCAAAAAGACTTAAGTCAACTATAACAACTAATGATCCAACATCTGATCTTCGAGTTATATACAAAACAACAAATCCGACGAAAAGATTTTTCCCCACTAAAGACCAACTTACCGTTAATCAAAAATCAGGCGCTGTCTACGAAATACACTGCAACGACTGCAGCAAAACCTATATAGGAAAAACAATATGACAGACCGCAAGACGATTGAATGAACATGAAAAAGATGCACAAAAAGCCGCATTGTCCATACAACAGTTATTTTCACATAGCAAAGCATCTGCCCAAAACAACAAAAATCAAAAAAGCATTCTCAATGGACGAATAAAAAAGAATACAAATACAGAAAATCTACGCCGAAGCAAACGTATAGCTGACACGCAACAAAAGCACCTATCTCAACAACAAAAAACAACAATTGAAAGCATTCAATACACACCTAATTCAGCACTCGGCAAACATGTGAAAAAACCGCACATTCAATCAACTTTCGAAATGTTCAAATTCTAAGACAAGATCAGAGACCTTATCGACTATTAATCCAAGAATCCATTCAGATAAGAAAAAAAACACCAGCACTAAATGCCACTGATACCTCCGTACCATTATATGTCTTTTCGGAGGGAACTAACAACTACTCAAATCAATCAACACGAAACACAAAATTCCCCAAACAATTCGATCATATACTAAAGGTAAGACCTCAACCTATAGATCCAACACATTCGACTCCTATTCTTTCTTTCAGATTCATGACAACCGAATTTAACATATCCTCCATCGACAACAACCTAAATTAAAACCCACATCATCATCATCTACAGATTATAAACCATCGATTATTTAACTAACATCATCATCCACGAATCAATTACACAAACATAGCAATAATAATATTCCATTAAAATATCCATACCAGAAAAGAAATGAATGACATCAACAAATGACATTTAAATATAATATAACCTTCAATAAACTATTCATTATTGAAGAAAAATCCCATTTAAATTACATTTATTAGTTATTTATTATTTTTATTTAAACAAAATGGG